TATGTCTCTAAATACTGTATCCCTCATAAAAGTGATTTTTAAATCGATATTTCTTATTACGTAGTTACTTTAAGCACTGTATTTTATAAACATTAGTCAATTCCGCAACAATTTTTCATATATTTTACCCAAATTACATGGTTTCAACTTCGAACTGGTGAAGTGTCTTTTAAAATTTTGACACTTCAATCTAATTTGAGCAGATATTATTTAAACATCTATATATATAAATGTATAGACATCAGTTTGTTTTTAGAATACATACACATATAACAAACTACATATATATAATTAATTTTTTTTAAGTATGCCTATATTTATGTCAAGAAAAAATGTACTTCTTTCATTTTCTAAAAACATTTATTGTTATATATATCTGAATATTGCTGATCCATTATAAAAGAATATTTTAATTTCATTTTACAAACTTAATTTCAGTACTTTAATTTTTTAACTAAAAATAAACATTCTCTGGTTTATACGAATTGCTTATTGCTTATATTCAATCTTGAAACAATTTATAATAAAAGATTTTGCAAAATACTTGGGTTTTTTGGAGTAAAGTTAAACTTTAAAAGATAAGTTGACATTTAAACTGCTTTTTTAACCTGTTTTGATCAATAATTCAGAAACTTTTTTTTAAATGTGTAAGATAACATCTAAGTCATTAGTTACTTAAAATCTTTGTGATCTTATTCCCTAACTTATGCTGTTTGCAGGTATTGCACAATTCTTCATTCATGTGGATGCTTTGGCTTAGATTTCTGACTTAGAAAAATGTTTAGGGATAGTTCAGGGACCTTAGAGGGTTGCCAATAATGTAATATATTTAAGGGGTCTGTAATATTAATTAGTCCAAATAGGAAATGCAGGTGGTGTTCTACGGCTGTTTGAGGTATGTACTCCATTCACCAACTCACTTGCCATTTTATTTCTATTCTTTCTTGACAGTTGTAACTTATAAATGTGTATTCATATGTAATATTCTAACGCATCAAGTGCAAAACCAATATCACTTTTCCATTAAAACCATTGCTTTACAACATTAATAATATTTACATTTTGGACTTAATATAAACTCATGCTTAGTGCCTCCTAGATCCCCTCGGTGGACTTTAGAAGGTCCATTGTCCTTGACCTTAGCCTCATCCTTATGTACTCCCATGACCTGAATGAAATTCATAGGACCTGGAGACACTCATTTATAAACATTGAAGTATTATTTTTAAATCTATTCTCACAAACTGTTGAAGTGTTGCCCGTGTCCTGCAAAATAAACATATCACATCATCATATCGATAATACAATTTTTCAAAATAGTACTTAGTTCCCATAGGAGAAATATAGTGTCATGTTTAGTTTGTCCACACTGCCGAAAGTAAGACACAATCATGCCCAAGATAGTGTTTTAGGCTGCAACCCAACACCACAAAACAAAATATAAGTCCAAGGATGCCTCAGTACAAAATATAAGTCCCGACCAACAGACTGGCCCTTGTTCTTCAGAGTGGTTCTTCTTTAATTTTTATCTTCAGCTTCTTCACAGCACCACTTGTAGAGAATTCATCTATCAGATTCCTTTTGAGTTGTCCATCCATTTCCACCCCCACCACCTTCTGCGTACCCAGTGGGGGTGAGTCTGGGAGGTCAATTGCCTCGACAACCTTTTTAAGAAAAAATGTAAGCATATCTCTTTAATATATAACCCTACTTATACAAATATATAAGAGTAATACAGTCGGTATACCTCTTGTTTTTGGACATCTTTCCCTTTTTCCTCGTTGTAGAACTTTCACCATTGTGGAGACTTGACCCAATCTAAATTTAAGGTATTGATCATTATTTTCTATTATACGAAACATATACTTTTACTATGAAGCACCCAAAAGTAAATTTCTATAAACTCCAAAACCATTGAAAATACCTTCTCAGTTGGAGTGTCATGAACTGATTGTTGTTCCTTATCCGCTTCATACAATGCCAGAACCTTAGGGTCTCTTATCATGGTCACCACAGTAAATGACTTTGTTTTCTTGTAAGTATTCTCCTCACTTTTTGTCTTCAGTTGTATTTTAAACAGGCCCTTTTGGTCAACCAAGCTTTCTATGTCTTCTGGAAATCGAGTTTGGTCTCCAGTCTTCTGTTTTATTCAAACCATTTGCATTAGTCATAAAGTTTTTTAATTTTGATAATTTCACATATAAATTAAAATCAAGTTTTTGCCTTCTCCATCTCAACCATTAGAAAAGCAGATGTTTTTCCAAAAACTTCAATACATTCCCTGTCCCACAGAATGAAGGTTGAATGACCAGTCTGGTCCATGATGCAAATGCTGACTTTATACCTAAAATGAATGTCAAATATTTTTCAGTGGACTCGATTCATACAAATCATAGCTACATACAATAGAAATTCTCTTACCGATACACCCCATCTGCCATTGTGACATGGCAATTGGTACACATGAACCTATCATCCTCTGGTTTTAGTTTTTTGTGGCATGTGGGACAGCCTAGGTAACACCATTCTCTATAGTTTTCAAGAGACACAATGTCTCCGATGATCCAGTAAACCCCATCCTGTTTGTAAACACAATATTTGACATAAGCGTTGAAAATGTCGTCACCTAAAAGAATAGGTCATCTTGTACACACCTCTGTAGCCTTAACCAATTCCTGAATAGTCGTTATGACAGCTTGGCCCGCAAGGACATCTTCCCGGCTCCCATCACCATGGGAAGATTGTGAGACGGCTGTGGCTGTGACGCTGTCATCACCATCTACAGGAAATATGTATCATAGTGCAGAGTTCATTATGAGTATAGTTTTTATAAGCCTTCATTACAATGCCTACTTTTAAAAAATTCTTACTCGCTTTGAAATTCAATAAACTCGCTTGAGTTCCCATTGATTATCAGTTTTGACACATCAAATGAAGATGATACAGATAGGGTGCCTGTCATGAGTAATTAGTTTTTTAGAAGCATACTGTTTTGGCCTGATGGCAGGAGTCATAAACATCCCTACAAAAAGGATTACCTTGGTATCTCTTTGGCCTGCATAGCTGAAAAATTACATACACAGGCACACCAACATTCTCGGTCACATACTCCATATACTGGTCTATGTACTTGTTCCACAATACACATCCGAGTCTGTTCCCTCTGCAATTTATAAAAGTTATTTAATAATAAATATTATTCATGTTCCATAACCATTTCTCTCTTAAGTTTAGATTGTATAAAAATGTTTAAACAAAACTCACTCAGGGTCTCCTAATGCCAACTCCATCATCCTTTCAGCCCTTCCACTTATGATATGGTTTTGAACGCCGCTCTTACATATGACTTTGCCTATGACATCTATAACCAAATTCCAGCATAAGATATTTATTTCAGTAAATTAAAACGTAAAAGTTTTCGGTTGTCCTCACCAATCAATTTTTTGTCGTTGACGACGCGTTGAGCCTGCAGCATGTCAAATGGCTGAAAGTCGTACACCATCATTGGCAACTCTGTCCTAGTGTCTTCGGTGAACTGAGTTTTGCTGATGAATTGAATCAGATAAGGATGTTCACTTGTTTTGACAGTTTGGTAGTTGTCCAGGACCAAAAACGTCCTTAGAGCGTACATTTTGTTTTCCTTGATCATGGTCTTGTAAACCTCCACCTGTGGCCTCTTTATTATAGCGTGAATGCGGTCTCCCTAAATATCAAAATGTGGGCAGTGTGAATATAATAATAATAATAATAATAATAATAATAATATAATAATAATAATAATAGTAATAATATTATTATGATAATATGATATGATATGTTTTTGAAAATCTGTGAATATGTTTTTCTACCAGCTCATCATGCAACACCATCTCGAGTGTTGCCCCCCCCCCCCCCCCCCCCCCCCCCCTTTTGAGTGAGGTGGGACTTCGTATGCTCTGACCACCCGCACCCTTAAGGCCCAAGTGGTCTTGGTATGATCAACATCCTTGATCAGGGACCACATGCCTCTTTGTGTTGAGGAACCTGTCATAGTTCACAAATTACTTAGGAAACTTGAAAATACAGAGAATGTAAAAGAGATTAGCTTGATTGTGGTGTGGTTTCTGACCCCTTCAATGGGTATTTATATTGGGAAAGGGAGGAAGTGATGTAGAACAAATTGTGTAATTGTGTAATAACCATTGGTCAAGGCACACCCAATTAAATGTGAAGTTGCCATTTACTATTACAGCGAGTACATTGCATTTAATGTTGTGTGGCTCAAGAAAGGCAAAAAGAGTAAATGTGTTGCTTGTGGAATTTCGAGTACAATGCTCCCCATTTTTTATTAGAATTGCAGCCCTCTGTTCAACTAAAACTGCATTGCTCACTGGGCCATCATTTACCATCACTGAGCAACAAAATACGGATTAACCATCACTGGGCCTTTGGAATTTCGGGTACAATGCCCCCATTTTTTTTAGAATTGCAGCACTCTATTCAATGTAAAGTTGTCATTTACTATTAGAGCTAGTACATTGTATTTAATGTTGTGTGGCTCAAGAAAGGCAAAAAGACTAAATGTGTGGCCTTTGGAATTTCGAGTACAATGCCCCCATTTTTTTTTAGAATTGCAGCACTCTATTCAATGTAAAGTTGTCATTTACTCTTAGAGCTAGTACATTGTATTTAATGTTGTGTGGCTCAAGAAAGGCAAAAAGACTAAATTTGTGGCCTTTGGAATTTCGAGTACAATGCCCCCATTTTTTTTAGAATTGCAGCCTCTATTCAACATTATTTCATTGAGCCAATAAAGTAATTTCAGCATGACCTTATTTTGGACCCACTTTAACAGGCCCGGCCCATTATTGTACACTTTTTGGGCGGGAACACTGTGCAGTTTTCATTTTGCTTTTGTATAATAAAAGATATCCAGGCCCAAATGTCTTTTTTCCAAAATAATTTGTTTTAGATCGGGCATATTTTTCCGAAGATTCCAAAATTGGATAACACTTGGGCCAGCTTATTTAATTTTGGGCCAATGAATTTATATCTCGGTCAGGCATTGAAGTAAAACCCTCACTCTCTCCGCCACTCTCTTATGATTATGATTATGCAGGGAATGCTATGGAATGAGTCAGAGGAAGCGGATTGAGCCTAAGAACCTCACATATGGAAGCTAAAATTGATGAGAAAAACAAAGCCGCAATTTCTTCTGAAGAGGGTGGCGTTGCTGTTGATGTGACGGGATATGCAAGAAGCGGAGTGCCTGCAATTCTTATGAAGGAAGATCCAGATGAAACAGAGTACTCAAGCTCATTTGCCGACTCCACGTCTCTAAAAGACCACATTTCCGGCCCCAGTGATGCCGAAGCTGATTCCCATTTATGCAGTGAAAGCGAGTTGGGGTCTCCGTTTGATGGATTTGGAAGTCTTTTCCCCATGAGGTATTGTTTTAAGCTTTTATATATGCTCCCTATTAGTGTTGTAAAGCAGCACTATGTAAGCATCTGCTGATGAATTAATGCTCTATGGGTATTCTAATTTGATAGTCATTTAAGAATTGAGCCCAGAATATTATCTTTAATTTGCACCCTTACAGGCAATTTCACAAGGTTTAATATTTTTATATTACCTCAGCTTGTAAATGTGTTCTCATTTAGAGTGGTGATCAGAGCTTCATTTTTCATCAGGAAGAAAAAATTGACCAGTCACTGGAGAAACTTTATAAGTCCTTTAATGTGGCGATGCAAATGGGTAGAAGTGAAACTAAAGGAGTTTAAGTCACAGGCACGAAAGTATGACAGAGAGATGTCTGCATACAACAGGGAAAAACATCAGGTATTTGATCAATTCCTGCTACAAGAGTCGGGATCAAAAGCAGTGCCATACATTCATCAAAGAGTAAAGAAGAAAGCCGTAAAGAGGAGGAAAAGAAAAATAGTAGAAGGAACTGATGTATCATCATACATGTCAAATCACAAGCTTTTCTCCTACTTTGGTGTGTTCTTGTTTCTCATTTACTTCTGCAAGGTGTACTGGTTTTTCTTACCAGAATTATAAGTTTTTGTTGACATGTTTTTCTTACAGAAAATAAGAAATCTGATCTGGATGGAGTTTCTGCAGGTGAAGATTTGAGTATAGGTATGCTTTCATGGCCCTATGTTTGGTTCCTCATTTCTTTCCTCCAGTTAAATTATTATTATAAGACATTTCCTTCGTAAATTCATTATTAACCACTAATGGTTGATTTTTGTTTCCTAGTGGTGTTGTATGATACTAGGAACACAACCCATGCATGTTCTATGACTTTTAATATTTTTGAAACTATGACTAATAATGTGCATCACATGCCTTATCTAGTATATAATATACTTCACTATTTAAGTTGTGGATCTTGCTAAGCCTTGTAAATTGTTGTATTCTTTACACACTGTGTTTGCCAATTGGCCTTTATCTATGGTTGATGATGTGTCTCAGAAACTACAGTTAGGAGGACATTGATACTTCATATTTGCACCTTTTAACCAAATTCCCCCACTAGGCATACTATGGCCACGTTTAGATCCTGGAAATTGTTAGGGAATGGAAAGGAGATCCTAAAATGTTTTGCTTATGTAAAGGAAATGTAAACAAAACGAATAAGTTCTTTTTTAATTTTTTTCTACATATGTTTATATTTACCAGTATTTATATCTAGGAAGTATAAAAATGAATTTGTTCAAGTATTGAAAATAAGCTTAATAGCTTATTTAGTCAAAGAGTAGATACTATAATATAAGTGTGAGCACATAAAAAAAGCTTATTGAGTCTTGAACCGATGTTTCTTTTCCTCTACATTTTCGCCCTTCCAAATTGCTCCTATATTTTCTTCCCTGTTTTCTTGCCCTACCATATTCCAAATTCCAAATGTAGACGAATGGTATGTTTAAATCACGTAAATGATGTGGGAAGAAAACAAATGATGAGTTTTTTGTTTGGTTTGGTTTCACCTTGGGAAGTGCCAAATAAAATGAAACATGACTAATTTGTTTTCAAATTTTAGATATAATTAGATAATTAGATTTCTCTGTCTCTATATAAATATATACATTAAGACCTCTCTATGCAAAAAAAACTTTGAACAAAATATTTTGTTAAAATAGAGATATTATAACTGAATAAAGGTATATTAAGTTTTAAAAGAATCCGTGAGACCAAAGTATTTTATAATAATACTGAAGTTAGTTAATATGTGTTCCTATATATAGTTTGAATTTGTTTCTTAATTCTTATTCCCCAAAATTCTTTCCTTCCAATTTTCCTCCTTGTATTGCATTTTATATTTTCATCTAGTATTTTCCGGTTTTGAAACCGATCCTTTGTTTTGGATAAAAAAATCTTCTAGCGTGGCATGGATGTTTTATTAATTAAAGATTTCAACTTTTGCACTAACTGGAGATGACATAATTTTGTCTCCTTTCTGAAACAGTGTTGATGGAACAGAATGGCAGTGCCCACAATGACTTGTTGAGTGATGATTTGTTAGTTCTTAAAGGCAATGAAGATTCACCAGAACAGGTCCTTCGGAAGATTGAACAACTTTATTCACGTGTTCATAAGCTGAATGCCGAACTCGACACTTTGATGGAAAAAAATGCGTTGAAGTTCTCTTCCTCTGAGAATCTCAGCAACCTGGGGGGCTTTTTTGAGGCGCAGGACAGCTCTGCCCGTCACCCTACTTTCTCTGCTTGCAATGGGGAGACGGTGTCAGTTGGGTGTTTATACACACCGCAAGCTCAGCAGCATATAGTGACGGTCAATGATTTTGGTGGAGATTCAATCATGCATGACAGTGCTATTTCGAACTATGTAGAGGCTAATAATCCTCCGGATATTATCGAGAGTAGCACTGGGTTTTTGTCTTTTGTTGATGCCACACAGCATCAGGGACTGGTTGGAGATTCAGGTGAAAAAGTACGATCCTTTTTCTTTCAATTGATTTATTATTTGCAAAAACTTGCTTCGTATAAAATTCACTTGCTATTGTCATTATAAGTGATTTCTACATTACAATTGTTATACATTATTGATTACTATATTTAACTAAAAGAATAAGTATACTCTATAAAAATCACTTTCTCATTTCTTCTTCGCTCCTCCATTGAACCAAAATAAGTACATCACAGGTTTCTTAAAACATACTATTAGCAGTTTTTAAGGAGGTGTTTGGATCTAATTCTTAAAACTTCTTCTGCTCCTTCAGGGAGCATAAGCAGCTGAAACTACATAAGTACTTTAGGGTGCTCCAAATTGCTTCTAGAAGCAATTTTTTAGAAGTTGGGGGAGACCACCTTTTGGAAAACTGATTCAGCTTCTGCTTTTAAAAAAGAAGCAGAAGCATAATCAATTCCAAACACCCCCTAAGTATGTATGTGCTTTGTTGTCATTTTATCTTTAACTTTCAGGAAATATGCAATTATTACAATATTACATAGACTTGTACTGCTTGTCTAGTTCCTTATTTATTCGGCTTATAAGTTTTATTAGCTTGTTATCTACCAAACACTAACTTTACTGAATTAGACGAATAAGTTGATATTTAGATGTGGCCCTCCTACTGAATTAAATTAGTCAGTTGATATTACATTAACTAATCTATATTAACGTATTTTACTGAGTTAGATGAATCAGTCGATGTTAAGAAAAAGTAGTGCACTGGTTATTTTTTACTGAAATAAAGAGAAACGGTGGCCCTGCTATTGAACTTGACGATATATGAGTCTGTTGACATTATATGAATTTGCCGATATTAACCAAGGTTCGAAATTGCGTATTGCGTGTTTGAGGCGGCTTCTTAGCATTGCTGAATGTGTTAGCCTCAACTTTTACACAAATCTACTCCGTATATAAAAGTACAAACTATATAATTTGATATTATTGAATTACACAAATTTTACACAAATTTATACTAATGTAATTTACATTTTACAATAATGAAGAAGTTAATATTATTGACTTATTTTACGGAATTAGATAATCAGTCAATATTAAGAAAGTGTAGTGCATTGGTTTTTATGGAGATATTTAAGTCTTTAAGATATATCCTCGAGCTTTACTAGTGTTTCTTTCTCCCATAGTTCCATGTGATGCGGTCTGCAAGACTGCTTTGTTTAGCAGCATAACCAGCATTGCCCTCCTGATTGTATTATCTTGTTAGTTGTATTTCCCTCAAAATGCAGTTGTTCACTGGTACCCCTTCTACCCTCATTGTGATTAATTTACGTTTTAGGAAAATACTTATCAGTTTACTAGTGTTTCTTGTTCATCTAAGACTGCTAGCTTTAAATCATGATTGATTAATACTCCATAATTGTTAGTAGTATTTCCCTCAAAATGTAGTTGTTCACTGGTACGGGGTACCCCTTCTATCCTCATTGTGATTAATTTACTTTTTAGGAAAATACTTTCTCAGTTTCTAATACATTTTTAGATATTTCAGCAAAACTGCAAAACCAGTCATAGTTTCAAGCTATCAGCAAATTCAATCATTTCAGACCATTTTCATCCTACACATCAGTCTCTTTGTGATTAAATATTATTGGTGATCCCATAGATGTTTTGATGCAAGCTAGCTCCCTCCTACGTCATCATCATCATCATTACCCCCAGTGCCGCTAAGGCTCCCACCTACGATGGGGTAAGGGGGGTCAGGTGTACGTAGTCTTACCCGTGTACTAAAGCACAGAGAAATTGTTTTCAGATGACCCATAGTGAAAGTCACGTCGAAAATTGCATGAACTGACTGTTGCTTAATAACAAAGAATAAGAGACAGTTAAGTGAGTCATTTTGTTTTATTACATCATATTCCCAAGTCAAAAAATAGTGAGTCTTTGGCTCCATTATAGATGATGGAAAAAACTTCCTCCTATGTCTATACTTTGAATACATACCACACTTTTATTGTGTCACATGTTTGGACAGGTTAATTCTTACATTGAATTTGGCAATTTGAAGAATTATTAATAGTTTCATGTTATTTTGGCATATACAGATCGTGGATAACATCCTCGTACAAAATGAAGCATCTGAAGTGGAAGGGGCTCCTTTGAAGATAAACTGTGATCAATCCTTGGAGAAAAACCTTGGAGGCACGGAGAAGAAGATTCCAGAAGAAGGTGCTAATCCACTTCCTGCTGTTTCACTACCACAACCGAGTAGAGCGGGTGGTACGTCCCAGGAGCAATCTACTTTAAGGCCGTCTTTGACCTCTGAAATCCAGTTTCCACCTACCACGAGCAAAAGAAAGAGAGGAGAGCGTAAAGCGGGCGGTGGTGGTTGGAACTGGCAAAAGCCAGAGCCTGACAGTTAGTAAAAAGAGATATTTGAATGGCAGTAAAAGGGAAAAAAATCAGTTCTGCTATGCGAGGTGAGGCGGTAAAATATTATTAAAACCCTTCACTTGCAAGCTTTAAATTGAAATTCAGCTAAACCAAACATTTTAATCATGGATCTTGTGAGCCACGAGGGCACAAACACCAGAGTGAGTTGCATGGAAGCTGTTGTCATTGGGGGGGGGGGGGGGGGGGGGGGTAAAGTGGAGGAACTCTTCTTTACAATATAAGTTGAACATATTTTACCTAAGTTGTATTGCTTATAATGAATGGTCTTAGCTTCTTCTGTATAAACATGAACTTTCTTGTGTTGTATTGGTAAAATTGAGCTGATGATACAATTAATTATTCTGTTGTTATTTTGGTCAAGATAAATTTTATATTTTCTAGTTCTAATATATGAAGTATGTATTATTCTCTATTTCTCTGTACTAGATATTAGTTGTTTTAGCTGATTCTTTCAAAGTTGTTATCGTATTTGGATTTCAAGGCTTATTTCATACTAATAATCTTTCAAATTTGTCCATGTCATTGTTCTTCAATTAAATGCTTTTGTGCATTCATTTGGGACTGAAGAGCACATTTTCTTAAACGTTTTGAATGTTTAATACTCTTTTGATACCCATACCTTAATCTCATCTAGATGGAATTAGTGACAGAAGTGTATGATCCCATTTTATTGTTTGATAGCTATGCGTTCATGCAAAAAGAGGATAAAACAGTGAGTGCAATTTTAAGTTTTTTAACCGGTCATTATCATAAGCTTTCCCACGCATGAAGGAAATCATAAACACAATGACTTAAATAAGCACCGCGTTTGCTTAATATTTATTAAACAAATTAGTTTCGTGTCTTGGTCGCTTTGTAGCTACGAAAAGTGTAGGTTTTAGAATTAATCTTCGTATTGAGCCATCAGACAGAAGTATATATACAAATTACAAATAACAAATTTCGTGTACATATCCTAAAATATAGGATCTATCTAAGCGACTAAGATAGAAGTCTAACAGCTCTAAACTCTTATCTACACATCTACACGTACATTAATTAACAATACAAAATACATGTCAAATTTTTCTACACCTCCCCTCAAGTTGGTAAGTATATATCATACATTCCCAATTTGCTTATAAGTAATTCAAACACTGGTTTGAACAATCTCTTTGTGAAGATTTAAGTTGTTTGTTCTTTGGTAGATATGAATGGTGTACACATAATTCCAACTTCAATCTTCTCTTTTATGAAGTGTCTGTCCACTTCAATATGTTTAGTACGATCATGTAGCACAGGATTATGAGCAATACTAATTGTTGCCTTATTATCACAATATAACTTCATAGGCAGATCCATCTTCATCTTTAGTTCTGAAATTACTCTCTTAATCTAAAGTAATTCACAGATCCCATTAGCCATAGACCTGAATTCAGATTCTGCACTATTTCTAGCAACCACATTCTGCTTCTTACTTCTCCAAGTTACCAGATTTCCCCATACATAGGTACAATACCCAGAAGTAGATCTTCTATCAATAATTGAACAAACATAGTTTGCATCCATAAAAGCCTCAATAGTTCTACTGTTGTTTTTCTAAAGAATAGTCCCTTCCTTGGACAGCTTTTCAAATATCTTAGAATTCTGTAAGTGGCATCAAGATGTTCTTGGAATGGATTATGCATAAACTGGCTAACCATACTCACTACAAAAGCAATGTTTGGCCTTGTATGTGCCAAATAAATCAATCTTCCCACCAATCTTTGATACTGTTGAACATTAACTGGAACTCCTTCTTTGACATCTTCAGCTTTTGATTAGGGTCAATTGGGGTATCTATTGGTCTGCATGCACTCATACCTGTTTCTTGAAGAAGGTTTAGTACATACTTCCTCTGTGATACCACAATTCCTTTCTTTGATCTAGGGTTGGACTCGGGTCGGGTGGCCCGACTCGGAACCGGCCCGAGACTGGTACTGTTCCGGCCCGGCCCGAACCGGTGGCCCGGTCAGTGACCGGTCCGGGTAGGCCCGACCCGGTGGGTTTCCGGTCCGGGCTCGGGTCACCCATAACAAGGCCCGGCCCGGCCGGGCCGGGCCCCGGTTCGGGACAAATTTATTTTTTTTTGGTTTTTTTCATTTGTTTGGGCTCCACCGGGTTGGTCTTGATGTTTAGGAGGGGTTTGGGGGGGTGAGGGGGGGGGGGGGTCAGGGATGGGTAGCTAAGCAAAAAAAAATTAACCAAACCCGAGGCCCGGCCCGGCCCGGCCCGGACCCGGACCGGACCCGGTGGCTACCCGGACCGGTTCCGGGTCCAGCTATATAGAACCGCTGGCCCGGGCCCGACCCGGCCCGAGTCCAACCCTACTTTGATCTAGCTATCTCCATGCCAAGAAAGTACCTCAATTCTCCCAGATCTTTGACCTCAAATTCCTGGGTTAGTTTCTCCTTCAAACTTGCAGTTTCTTTATAATAATCTCCTGTAAGAATTATATCATCAGTATAAACAATTAAAATTGCAATCTCCCCCTTACATGAAAATTTCATAAAAAGTGTGTGATCAGCTTGCGCTTGCTTGAATCCCTGCCTCTTTATGAACTGAGTGTACCTGTCAAACCAAAACCTTGGGCTATTTAAGTCCATACAAGGCTTTCTCCAATCTGCACACCTTTGAGCCATATTTATCCTCAAATCCAGGAGGGGGGCTCATGTACACTTCCTCTTCAAGTTTCCCGTTTAAGAAGGCATTCTTCACATCTAACTGTTGAAGTGGCCAATCTAGGTTAGCAGCTAAAGATAAGAGAATCCTTATAATATTTAATTTTGCAACCGGAGTAAAGGTCTCAGTATAGTCTATGCCATAAGTTTGTGTATATCCTTTGGCAACCAACCTAGTCTTGTATCTTTCAAGTGTTCAATCTGTCTTGAACTTAGGAGTAAAAACCCATCTACATCCCACAGTTGGTTTGTTCTTGGGTAACTATACAATCTGCCATGTCTGATTCCTTTCAAGAGCATCCATTTCTTCCAAAATAGATTTCTTCCACTCAGGTTTAGATAGAGCTTCCTATATGGTTAATGGAATTGCAATAGAGGAAAGACTAGAGGTAAAGGCTGCAAATGATAAGGACAACCGGGAATAAGACACATAGTTCGAGATAGGGTATATGACACATGACCTTTTCTCTTTTCTGAGAGCAATTGGCAAATTAAGATCACTGGAATTATTACCTTTTTTATTTGCTGGTATTAAGTCAGATTCATGAGCAGTTGCAGGATTAGAGATGTCCTCTATTCTTTGATTTGGAACTCTCCTTTCATAAACTTTGCCAAAAAATTTACTTGTCTGCTGCTCATCTTCTTTCCTTGTTTCAATTATATTTATTCCATTTTCCTCTAATTTTTGACCATTTTCTGATGCATCTAAGTTTTTAGTATGATGTGCATCTAGACTAATGTCAAGAAATTCAAGATTTTCATGAATATGTAGTACACTGTTATCATCTTCACTAGAATTCTCCCTCTGAAGATGATTACTAAAAACGACTGATTTTCAACAAAATTAGTGTTCATGGTTACAAACATCTTTTTTGTTGTAGGATCAAAACATTTATATCCTTTCTGTGTTGAAGATAGTCCTAGAAAAACACATTTTGTACCTCTAGGGTCAAACTTGCTTGCTGTTTTATCAGGATTGTTGACAAATACTGTGTAACCAATTTTTTTTAAGGGAAGAGAGCTGATCAGTCTAGTTTTAGGAAAACAAATTTGAAGTGTATCAATAGGAGTTTTAAATCCTAGAGTTTTTGATGGCATCCTATTAATTAAAGGTAGCATGTAAAACAACATCTCCCCATAAATATTTTGGAACTTTGGTTGAAAACATGATTGCACGAGTAACTTCCAGTAAATGCCTATTTTTCCTCTCAGCTATTCCATTCTGAGCAGGTGTATTTATGCAAGAACTTTGATGTATAATCCCTTTTTCAGCAAAAAATATATTTAAACTTTGAGAAAAATACTCACGGCCATTATCACTTCTTACCATTTCGATATTGGTATTGAATTGAGTTTGGACCATTGAGTAAAAATTTCTGAACACACCTTCAACTTCTGATTTTTCTTTAATAAAAAACCCATGTTACTCGGGTATGATCATCTATGATATGATAGTTACAAACCACCTTTTTCCTTTCAATGTGGAAACTCTAGATGCACCCCAAATATCACTATGCACAAGAGTAAAAGGACTAGTTGGTTTGTAACTATGAGGGATATAAGAATTCTTGTGATGTTTTGCAAGTGCACACATATCACAATGAAACGATGAAGGATCTTTATTATGAAATAATTGAGGAAACAATTTTTTCAAGTAATAAAAACTAGGATGACCTAATCTATAGTGCATTAAATACACCTCATTATTACAAGGAAAAGAAATAGTTTGCAGACAAGTTTTTTCTTGACCTACTTTATTTATTTCAGTCCCATCATCAAAGATATAGAGTCCATCATCCTCTCTAGCACTGCCAATCATCTTCCCCGATGCCAGATCTTGAAAAATGCAATAAGATGGATAAAATTTAACACAACACTGAAGGTCTTTGGTTATCTTGCTAAAAGAGGCAAGGTTACAAGCAAGTTTTGGAACATGTAGGACTTTAGAAAGGTTAATAGATGAGGAAATCTTGACATTTCCCATCCCTGCAATGGCTGAAAAAGAACCATCTGCAACTTTGACTTTTTATCCCCTGCACAAGGTTTATATGAAGAATAGGAATTTGGAATAAAGGTCATGTGGTCTGTTAAACCTTAGTCAATGACGCCGGTGTTTTTTAATTTTTCAGAACAGAAATATGATATAATTTTACCATTTTGGACAAAAGAACAAGTAGGGTTTTCCTGGTTGGATATTTTTTGGGTAGCTAGAAACTGGAGTAGGTGCTCTATTTGTTCCTTTGTGAAAGGAAGTTGTTCAGAATTAACTTCTTGCTCTTGTTGAGTCTCAGTCACAGTAGTGTTGAGAGCTTTCTCAAATTTTTTTTCCTGCTCCTGGTGGCTTTCCATGGATCTTCCAACAAGTTTCCCTTGTATGCCACAGCTTCTTGCAATGATCACACCATGATTTCTTTCTTTCTTCTCCTTTGACCACCGATGCTGAGGAGTCTCCAATACGAGTATGGGGTCCTGGATTGTTATTCATAACCTTTTTCTGCTTTCTTCAATCCTGATTTCAGAGAAGACCTCCCTGATTGAAGGCAAAGACTTCTTTCCCAGAATCCTTCCCTTCACTTCATCAAAACTTTGATTAACTCCTGCCAGGAACATATAAACCCTATCATTTTCTTCCCTTGTTTTGTGTTTGGCCAGATCTTTTGCACTCTCACATTCATCATCATAATACTGATCCAACTACTGCCATAGAGACACCATTTCATTGTAGTAAGTGGTGACATCTCTATCTCCTTGTTTGGACTGCCAGAGAATGGTTTTAAACTCAAAGATTTGAGAAGAGTTTTCAAGGTCTGAGTAGGTTTCCTTTATGGAATCCCAAACCTCTTTTGCTGTCTTCATAAACATATGAGGTTTAGCAATTGAGGCCTCCATAGAACTGAGAAGCCAGACTATTACAAGGGAATTTTCTGACCTCCATGTACTGTAGCCTTCCTCACCAGGAAGTTTTGATTTGATTTCTCCTGTTAGATAGCCCAGTTTTCCCCTCCCATCAATTGCGAGCTTGACAGATTGAGACCATTCCAAATAGTTCTTTCCATTCAATCTATGGCTAGTGATTAACATAGATGAATGAATAGGAGACTCGTAATTTGTCATAGGGCTAATTTGGGAGGTAGGGTTGCTAGTGTGTGATGAATCAGAATCACTGGCCATCGTGTTGTTTAAACCGGGACTATGATACCATGTAGGTTTTAGGAATTAATCTTCCTTGAATATTATTGAGCCATCCGACACGAGTATATATACAAATTACAAATAACAAACTCCCTGTACAGATCCTAAAATATAGGATCTATCTAACTGCGTGCTTATCTACTAATTAAAGAAGTCTAACAACTCTAAACTCTTATCTACACCACTACTCGTACATTAATTAACAATACAAAATACATGTCACATTTTTGTACAAAAAGCAAACAATTCTTTCCAATTTACGAAACCTAATCATTAGATTTCAAAAAAAAACTCCAACCTAATCTAGGCTTTACTCTTTCATTTTTTATTTACTTTAATATAAACCAGTTATTCCTTTTATGAAAATGGTTTATATTGTATCTTTCAAATACACACTTTTAGCCACACCGTCTCAATTTTCTTGATATCGTGCCAATTGCAAGATCTGGCCCAAGGAATCCAAATTAGGACATAAGATCATTGATTAAACCATAAGTTTTTTAAACGAAAACATCCTTAATCCTTGTTTGACCAATTCGATTTGTTTCCAAAAATTAAAGAGAAAACGCAAGATTCATATCCAACTCCACTAAAATACCAGTCATTCTGAAATGATAACACAGTCTAAAAGATAGTGATTAGTGAGCCTAACACGCTAACAGGTGGTTTAGAGTAATCAATGGTGGGAATCGTTGTGGATTATATTGTTAGAGCTATAAAACAAAAAATAAAGAAAAAGAAGTAAAATTTATAGTCTTGTAATTGAAGTAAAGTTAGTTGAACTGTTGAAGAAGTCTAGGGTCCCACACCTTTCATCATTTTACACCATACATGCATAAAGAATCATTATATACATACGAAAAACTGCTCTTAAAAGTGAAAGTTGGGAGAAGGGGGAAAGCTAAGGTGGGTAGTTTTAACAAATATAGATCATATCTTCTACGCAAAAGAAGAAAAAGCACAAAAAGGCTTGCATAATCAAATTGGAGGAAAGAATAAGAAAGGATGTATAATTAACCAGCTTTGAACCTGAGAAAATTCTAAAGGTCACATACTATAATAGAACAGTTACTAGTTACTAGTACTTTGCAAAGCAGAGAAGGGGTATAAATAGAAAGGGAAAAAAGAAGTTTCTTTAGTTGAATGTTACTTTAGGGTTGGTTGCAGCTTTGTTGAATGGGTTCTGCAAGACTGGTTCAAAAACAATAAATGAAAGGTGCATACTTTGCTTCATTAAGTTATATATTCTCTTTCTTTATCTTTCTAGATAATGTTCAGATGCTCTAAATTGGGATTTTGCATGTTATGATTTTATCATGTGAGTCTTCTTCTTCTGATCTTTGGTGGGATTCAGTTATTCTTTTTCTTAGATCAATTCTTCCCCTTATAATCTTCACTTTGCCTGTCTCTGTGCTAAATTTTATCTGTAACTTTTGTTTTGTTATTCTACAACTCCAACTACTTTTTTCGGTTTCCTTATGTTAAATACGTAGTATTTAATATTGATACTATTGATCCGTATAAGAATTTGAATAGAAACTTATTCGGAGTAGTTTCTATTCAATCATCCAAAAAGCATATAAGGCTTTCAAATTACTCCTCAATTATATTGGTTTCAGGTTGAAATTCAAGTCTTAATTTAATTCATTCATTTGCAATTAATAAATGAAAATATTTTATATATAGATAGAGACTGTATACTGAAGTGAAGTGGAAGCATAGTTCTTTCAACTACTACAAGATGTTTCTAATTTATTTTGACCAAGAATCATATCCTGCTGTTATATTTCCTTCTCAATTACAATCTCCAATCAGGTGATTTTTGCAGGGTGAAATGATATGCTTATTAGAGGAACATGGGAAAGAAAGGCAGCTGGTTTTCTGCCATCATAAGACTTTTCACACCCAATTCTTCCAAGGATAAGCAAGCTAATGTGAGTGGATTAATTATCGAACTAGCTTTGTAATATTTTAGATGAGTCTCAACCTGAGCTTCTTGGAGATATGAATGAATTAGTAAGAATTTTATAATTTACATATTTAGATCAACAAAAAAGTTCTACTGACATGCAAAAACTGAATTGGAACATAATAGATTACTTATATGGAATTAATCTTGAAAATGGAAGCTTCAATTGCATCTTGTCAGGGAACAAAGAGGAAAAAATGGAAGCAAGGAAGAGGAGTAGTAAAGCAAGGAGAGAGCAAATCATATTTTCCACTATGCAGAGAGCCAAGCAGTATTGAGAAGATATTGGGGGAGGCAGATGCACATAGGCGGCAGCGGCGGGAACGTGTTCCTGATGAAAATCCCAGACTTTCCTCTGGGAGGAGGACACCTTCCTCACCAAGCCGCCCTCCTCCTCCAGAAGTGAACGCTTATGTACATCGACCTGCAGCAGAACCAACTCTGAAAGCACTTCAGGTCTCTGCTGCCATCAGGATCCAGGCTGCCTTTAGAGGCTACAAGGTGATCTTTCTTTTCTGTCCAATAAACTTTTCATTGACTTTTGGACTTCTTAACTTTGACTATTAAGACTTGTTGACTTGTTGTTAGGCCTAGTCAAGATTATATATTGATTTGCTATTTTAGATCAAATCAATAAATGAAAAGTAATTGTGGAGTAGTATTTACTGGCTTTCTAAATTTGAAAAACAGAAAATTTTCCACAATGTTTTCTATTTCCTTCCAAGTCTAATATTTTATGTATTGGGTATAGAACAGGCGAGGAGGGGGTTTAGAGCTTTGAGGGGCTTAGTGAGACTTGAAGGAGTGATGAGAGGTCAAAATGTAGAAAGGCAGGTCTTGAATGCCATGAAACAAATGCAGTTTATGGTTAGGATTCAAACACAAATTCAGTGTCGAAGGATCCAAATGTTGGAAAGCCAGGCCCGGGATTTAAACAACGATGTGGATGGCGAGTGCACCCTCACCAATTGGACCCCATCTGTAAGTTTTCGCTTTCTAATGAAGTATTTCTTCATACTCCGTGGGTGAAATCTAAAGCCACATAGCTAAGATGAGTTTAGTTTAGACTCGAGCAGGTAACCCGGAGAATTGGGATGGTAGTATGCTAACGAAAGATGAAATAGAACAAAGGGGGCGAAGAAAAGTGGATGCAGTTATAAATAGGGAGAGACCTATGGCTTATGCATATTCCAATCAGGTATTGTTTGGGTATGGATTTCTGGTGTCAAAAATAGACAAACCAGTTTCCTTTTTGTTGAATAGTGTTTCACATCTTAGCTAAATGATGATTTGTAACACCTCATCTGTGTTCCAATGTATGCACAGTTGTGGAAAGGCAATAAGCTGAGATGGAGTGGATACCCTTCTGTGTGGTGGAACTGGTTAAACCACAGCCAGCCTGATATGAATAACGTCCATCGAACACCTCCCCGAGCCCCATCTGGGAGCAAGCCTAGTCCTCATTTTCCGGCTACACCAACATCAACAAAGTCAGCTGTTCCAATGAGAAGCAAAGACTTCAATACTTCTACAAGTTCCCCTTTCCACTACCCATTGGCCGACGATGACAGCCTAACAAGCTGTCCAGCCTTTCCAAGTTACATGGCACCAACTGCTTCGGCGAAAGCGAAAGCAAGGAGGCCATTTAACAACATGAGGGAGAGGAATGATCATTTTGCGGGTGGAACGTCTTCAAACGACTCGAAGAGGAGGTTCTCTTTTCCTTTAACTCCAAATAGTAATGCCGGGTCGTCTTTCAGGTCGAACAAAGAGTCAAGCAAAGATGTTACTCCTAAGAGTGTGGACTCGACGGTTTCTATTGTTGGGAGGAAACCATTTAACAGATTTGTGTGATTTGATTCTTTTGTTATGCTTTGTTTGTGTAACCGTTTGTATAACCATGGTTGTGTGTTTTTATTTTGGGGTGTTAGTTTCACAGCAAATTTGAATAATAGTACCCTAAATAAGATTTTTTATATTCGCATATTTTGCAAAAAAAAAAAAACTCGTTTCTCGTGGAAATATACAAGGTGGTGTTCATGATTGTAGTGCAAAAAGCACATGTTTGGTAACTAATATTTTCATCTTATGAGTCATTTTGTTTATCACACACACTGTGATGCATAACTTTTGATTTTGCGCGCTGAATTATACGTAGTATAATACTACATACTCCGTAATCAACATAATTGAGTTTTAAGTTACTTTTGCGATCATGGAGCCGCCAAACCGTAGAGAAGAAAGTAATTCCGCCGCCGCTGGTTTCTAGCGAAGGCTGATAGCATCGTAGCAGCATCAGGGCATCGTGAGAAGGTTGGCGAATCCCACAGGTGATTATCTCAATCTAGTTTCCTTCTCGGCGTGTCTGGCCTTTTTCTTCCCCTCGGTTGTAGGGTGCTTCTTTACCAGCTAGCTTTGATGGTGAGTCGGGTGTGCTGACTGATTGAATGATCTGTGTGAGCCGAAACTGCTGCGGGTTAGGAAATTTAGCCACAACTGAAGTGCTGGAGACCAGTGTGGAGGCTGATGGAATCGGACCAAAAAACGACTCTACGGCGATGCTACTGGATCAGCACCGTCTGAAATTCTATTAGATCTAGTGAGCGGGATGCTTCCTTTGGAGGTGATTGGACAAACCTCTTCTCTCTTCCCGATGGCTGGTAAAATCGGAATGACGTCTTTGAAGGTGACTGGAAAAACCAGGTGTTTAATTCTATTTGCTATTTTCATTTTAATAACTCTAGTTTTATGTCCATTTATTTTAGTAACAAATACAACGATGCTGTTAGATTATCATACCATGATGCGGGGTAAGTGATCTTGATGAGTCCTCAGGGGCTGGTCAATTCTATGTCTAACCTCATGGTAGCTTTGAGCTATTGGTTTGCTTTGTCTCTTGTCACTTCCATTATTATTAATAAATAAGTGTTATTCTTTAAAAAAAACTTATCTTTGTGATTGGATTGATCGTAGTTAATGCAGGAGATTACTGTAGCTATTTTCAACGAGATTTTTTCTTTATTTATCATTAAAAATATTTAAGTATAATATTTTTCGCAAACAACAAATTAGTGAAGATAGCCAGTTCAACTTGAATTTCACCAGTTTCAATATGTTCAACTCATTTAACAAATTTCAATGTTACAAAATGGATAATAAAAATACTTCATTATACTCCCTTAAAACTTGGCAAAGTTTGAGCGGCACGAAAAATAGTAAAATTAAAATTGTGTGCATGCATGGTTAAGTTTTGTACAAAGAGAGAATTAACGGGGAACCACATACTCCCCATGTCCCAAATTGATTTGCAAAGTCAACATTTTTATGTCAAATAGTTTCATTTTTATTAACTTACTTAGGGTATCAATTTTTAATTATATTCTAATTTGGATTTTGCAACATTATAGAGATTTTAATGTAGTTTCTAAATATGTAAATTTTAATTTATTAAAATTAAATCAATTGTCAATAAAGAGAATTTAACTTTAATCTTGATTGACCAAAAAATGTTAACTTTGCAAATCAATTAAGACATAGGTAGTACATTTTAATTAAAAGAGAAAGTTGCAAAATTGGTTGGATTATAAATTAAAAAAGTTAACAATTTTTTAAAAGCAATATGTATTACAATTTAAAATCTGCCAAATAAAATGAATTAAAAATACTGGGCTAAATGTTTGATCCAGTCCAATTAGAAAATCACAAGCCCAAGATACTTCATCTCTTCGGTGTACCAATTCATCTCTCTACCGCTATAGCTCAGTCAGACGGTCGTACGCTATATTGCTCTCTCCGTTTCCAACTGCTCCTCTCCCCCTAGGTCGGACGCAGCCTACACCACGCCGTTCGTCTAATATCCCGACCAAGGTCAGTCGATTATTACTAACTGTCTCTTGTTTTGTTTACTATCAGCAGTGAATGGATCGGGTGTTGTTGAGGTTCGTTCTTCATCTTTTATTTCTGTTAAAGGATGAATAATTTTATAAATTAAGGATTTGTAATAAGATTTAATTTAATGACTGACCAATACGCCGGCATTGTTGCCTTAGTACAGAGAAGAGCCGAAAATCTGCAGATTAAATGCTGCCATTATGCTTTGGTTTTTAAAATTTTCGTATGGATTTATTAATTTATGAAAAATGTTTGGAAGTTTAATTTTTCACTGCTTGCATATGGCTGGCCTTCACTGGTGAACTGTTCTCCAGATTAATTCTCATTTTCCTTTAGGGAGAGTAGAAATATAGAACTTTTTTGGCAGGTTTACAGTTTACTTGACTGATACATAGCTGAATGTGCTGAATTTTTTGTTGGAAAAGCTTTTGATAGAAATCATGTCTGCCAAATTAGAAAGCTAAAAGCAATTAATTCCCCTTTGTAATCAACACTCAACAGAATAAGCCACTTTTGACTATGACTATAAACAGGCTTATAATCTTCTTGATTACACTAGACATTTGAGGTTTTGGTAGGGGGGATATTGGTACGAAATGAGGTGGGGGGGATAAAGTGGTCACTATAAGCTGAAGGGATAACTTTGACTATTTATGTTCATTTCAGTAATACACATACATGGCTGCCAAAGCTGAGAATGTGAATGAACCTCCTATCAATGAGCAAGCGGTTGCCAACATATACAGTTCTTTAAGGTCTGAAATGAACCAAATATATTCCAAAATCACCGAACTAGAGATGGAAGCCAGTGAACACACTCTTGTGATGAATGCCATAGAGCCGCTTGACCCATCAAGGCGGTGCTACAGGCTGGTTGGAGGTGTACTTGTTGAGAGAACCGTTAAAGAAGTGCTGCCTGCTGTGCAGCGTAACAAGGAGGGGCTTCAGGAATTGATTGCTCGTCTCAATGAAGCATTGGAGAAGAAGAAGAAAGAGATTTCTGAGTTTGAGGCGAAGTACAAAATAAGGATTAGAAAGCAAGATAGTGAGGTGCAAGAAGAGGAGAGTGGTCGGTCGAAGGAAAGCTCTGCACAGGGGGTCCTTGTTGGTCCTGCTGATGCCTCTAATGAATAGAGAGACTGGGGGTGATTAATGCAGTGGTTACCCATGGTGTGATCTTTTCTGAGACATTGTTTCTCAATTGAGGTCCAAAATTCAGAAGTGTGTTATTCCTTGTAATATATATTGCCCTTTATAAACTGTGATGTTATTAACTAAAACTTGAGGGTCCTAATTACCGTTTTGCTTGTAACATTTCACAACTATAATGCTTCGTTTACAATTTCTGGGACTATGGTTGGCCTGGTTCTAAAACACGAGCGAACTGGGAGTAAATAGCTGGGCTGGTTGCCACTTGCCACTTCTTCGATTCCAGAACTATTCTAAACCTATTCTGGTCTGGTTCTCCAAATAGGCCTAGTAGGCTAGTATGGACTGGTTCAGGTTTTCTTCAATTGTTTCAAAACATAGGCTAACTTTGTTGTCTAACAATTCTGGAACGGGAAATGGACCTTTAGTCCTTTACTTAGATAACCCCGTCCTGGTTATGGGTAGTGGGGACTAATGGCCCTTTTTGGTCACAGAAATACGGGATTGGCCGGTGTGCAATTGGACACGTACCAGATCTACCCTTAAGTTGAGGAGAGTTGAGGCACTATTTAAAATTTTGAGGATCAGTAAATTAGACATTCATAATTTGTTTATTAGACATGACGTCATGAACTCAGATAGGACTAAACCTATGTGTTTAAGTTTCTTGCAAAAGATCATGTAGTCAGACACTGATTTATTGTAATTAAAAGATTATTAGAAATTACTCAAAATAGAAGTAAAACATATAAAAAGTTCTCAAATAAGATTAAGTAGGGATGGACTCGGGCCGGGTGGCCCGACCCAGAACCGGCCCGGGACCGGTACTGTTCCGGCCCGACCCGGTGGCCCGGTCAGTGACCGGTCCGGGTAGGTCCGGCCCGTGGCTTTTCCGGTCCGGGCTCGGGTCACCCAAAACAAGGCCCGACCCGGACCCGGCCCGGACCCTGCCCGGACCCGAGTCCATCCATAAGATTAAGTATGTTTTCTTCCTAAAATACTTGTATGACTTATTTAATCTTATTAAATAAAACAACAAAAAAAAGCTAAAATATGTGGGAATGAGTCATATTTGACAGAGTAAACAATGAGACTCCTATAGGGATACTGTGCTATGTTTTACTCCCATTTAATGAATTTTCTTGAAATCATTTAGAGAGCAATATAGTTAAACTATTGTTAAATGACTATACAAGTTCCGTTTGAGTGGTGCATTTTAAAAAGGGAAAACTGTCAAATAGGTCCTCGAACTTTCATAAAAAGGTCAATTAAGTCCTTCTATAGGAGATTCTATCCGGGCGTCGCGATTTGGGGCAGTTCCCGGTAGAAATTTTTGATGCAAATTTTTGAGCATCTTATTCACCAAGTCTAGTTTACTCATAACAAATTGCAGCTAAAAAATCAATCGGGAACACATTCAAATTAATTCTTAAAGATAACTGCCTATTTTTGCGTTCTCGAATTAATTTGAATGCGCTCCCTATTAAATTTTTAGCTGAAATTTGGTATGAGTAAACTAGACTTGATGAATAATATGCTTAAAAAAAATCATCAAAAAATTCCACCGAAAACTGCCCCAAATCGCGACGACCAGACAGAGTCTCCTATAGAAGGACTTAATTGACTTTTTTATGAAAGTTCGGGGACCAATTTGACAGTTTTCCCTTTTAAAAAATTGGAGAAAGTAACCCCCCAATCACAGTGATGTTAACTAATTAGTATAATGCTGCATGTAATAAATAAAATAGAAGAGTATAAAATAATTAGGGCCTTCAGGGGTAGCTCATCTGGTAAGAAGGGGTGTCACAAGGGAGAGATCTCGGGTTCAACTCCAAGTAGTCATGGACTCGGGCCGGGTCGGGCCTAGGCTCGGTCGGGCCGCCGGTTTGTATGACATGGGCCCGGGACCGGCCCGAGGGTTGGACGGATCCGGTTCGGGCCGGGCCACCCGCCCGGGTCACGTGTCGGGCCACCCGCCAGGTCGGGTCGGGCCGGTTAAAGATTTTTTTTTATAATTTATATTTTATAGTTTATAGTTTTATACAAGTATTAAAAACAAACTTCAAGTGCATTTATTTGAAATGAAATAGGAACTACATTTGAAAATTAAAACAAACTTCAAGAGACAAACATTTTGTAAATTGTAATCAATCGGAACTTCCCACACCTCCCGATCCTTTGGCTTTGTCACATGACTTCATATGCTTCATTGTCATCCTGTATCCGCCTGAAACCCCCATTCTACATTTTTTTCCCGCACCATTTGCAAGTTGCGTACCACATCCCGGTCTTCGGGTCCTTCTGCTTATCAAAATTATACCGTATAACGGCATCTTGACTTTCCATCTTAAAAACTAAAAAGTTAAAAATGGTAGATATAATAATCCTACAATAGATGGAGATGAAGTATAAAGTAGATATATAAATAATAAATATAATATATTGGAGAATAAGAGAATTAGAGAGTAGAGAGTTAAGAATAGGATTTAGGAAGAATTGGAGAAGAGATATGAAAAAATGTTTAAGATTAGGAGTATTTATAGGTTTTTTTACCCCCCACCCCCTCCCACCCCCCCCACCCCCAAACCCCCCGGACCCCCCTGCACCCCACCCAACGGCTATATAGCCGTTTGGGTTGTCCCCAGCCCACCCCCAAGGCCATAACGGCTAGTTTGGGGCCCAACAAAAAAAAAATTAAAATGGACCGTTGGACCCAGACCCGGGCTCGACCCGGTCGGGCCGGATCACCTTTTTCAAGAACCGTACCCGCCCCGCCCATCCCCGCCGGTTCGGGTCTACACCCGGTCCCGGACCGCCAGTCCGGGCCGGTCCCGGGCCCGCACAGTAGCGGGCCGGGCCGGGTCACGGGCCGGGTGGCCCGAACCGAATCCAAGTCTAACTCCAAGCAATGACTTGGAATGGAACCTCACACTCTTTACATCCTCGCAGATGTCTGGTCGGTTTTGGGCCCCTCATGGATGAACCAATCCCAACAAAGATTGTTTTCTTCTTAAGACGCATTTGCTCACTACATACGTTGTCAAACGTCTCCTTCATATCTGTTCTCCCGCACCTCTCAACTCATCTAATAGACGTATCACTCTGTCTTCTACTCATATGACCAAACCACCGCAATTGAGTTTTCTGCAGTTTATCTTCAATAGGTGCTACTCACACTATTTTTTCCCGATTACATAATTTTTAAGCGATCTTTTCTAGTATGTCCAATGTTCAGATATCCACTCTCATTTTTTGATCGTGACATTGCTTCACCGTCCAACACTTTACGTCTTACGGTAATGGAAGCTTAATGATTGTCCGATATATTTTATCATTTTGTCTAATTGGCATACCTAAGTTACGTAGAAATTCTGATGCACTCTTTCTTATTATCCACCTTGTTATGGTTCTATGGGATACATCTTTTTTAGTTTACCATATTTCTGAATTATGGAGGCCTGGAGACCTAGTAACATAATATAAATGACCGATATATCCCACTGTTATCACTGTTTCTGCCTCCACCAAACCTCCACAGCTTGCACTCCATATACCTAGTCTTGTTTTGATTCGGTCTGAAACCCTTGTTCTCTAATATTTGTCGTCATACTTTCAAATTTGGTTTAACACTCAATTTTCTTTATATGTGTATTGTAAAAAATATAAGAAAAATCAAAATCTTACTTTGAAAGAAGTTTATAATATTTTTTACTCCCGCCGTCTCAATTTGATGGTCTGATTACGGTTTACGAGGTTTGACCGACGATAAAGAAAATGGATCCATGTCCTAACTCAAATTATTTTTAGTAAAAAAACATTTACTTGTACAGAAACTAAATCAAAAGTTTTACAAAGTCGCAAAAAGAAAAATAAAATTTGATAAAAGTTTGATAAAAGTAAAAGATTAAAAGTTGTTTGTATTGACAAACAATAAGAAACATGATCATCAAATTGGGATGGAGATAGTATATTATAATTCTTAATACACTAGTAATAAAATGTAGTCGAGTAGAATGTGTGAAATTGTTAACAATGTAAGAATTAAAGTGTGGCAACTATTCAAGTACAAAACAAAGTATGATCATTTAGATAAATCCATTTTGATTCACGAATATAGAAATTTATAAATTTATTCGAACTCTAAAGAAGGGGAGCTATGTGACTGACATGTCACGAGTTCAAGTTTTGTTTGTGGCCTCTTATCAAAATGGTAAGTGAAGGCTTGATCCCTATACTCCGGGGATCCTTCTCGAGACCATCGTCTTGCGGGGATGTCAATGTGCACTTAGCTACAGTTTTATTTATGAACTCTAAAGATATTAACTTTTTGAAATTTTATCAATTCAAGATCTGAAAGATAGACTATTTTTAAATTTGTAATCTAAAAGATAAAATGCATCCGTATAAAACTTGATGAAAAAGTGTAGATCTAGAATGATCAAAAATTGACCACTCTCTAGTCTCTATGTCAAACTCGTCCTCCAAAGAAAACCTGCAGAAGTGATAAAAAGAAAATCCCTAATCTTCTTAAACATTAAACCCTATTATTTTGCGCCTGTCAAACCGGCTATGGAGCCCATCTCATCGGAGGAGCGAATGGTGAGCGAGAAATGGAGACAGAAACTTGATGAAGTCAAGAGAGCTGTTGAGACCCACTTCTCAGGCATTACGGACCATGTCAATTTCACCCTTCAGGTTTCTTCAACTGTTTTTGTAGTTTATTAGAGATTGTCTTTAGTTGCTTTAAGCTTATATATGATTTGCTGTGATTTTCCACATGAGTAGCAAGCGTACTTTAGATGCGCGTATGAATGCTTTGATCGGAAGAAGAGGCATGAAGAGATAGAAAATTGCGTGGAGCGTTGCAGACTCCCTTGTGAGAATGCCCAAAATGTAGTTCAGAATGAAATTGTCACACTTCAAGTAAATCTCTCATTATGTCCTATTGTTATGTTAGTGGTTATCACTCTCACTTGCCAACGTTAACATTAGGGTGTAATGCTAATAGACATTAAATTAATTAATCCGGTGCACATATTTTGTTTGTGTGTTCACTAATTAAAGAGAATGGGTGATAATGGGCGCGTTGGTTTTTCGGCGGTTCTACGCCAATCCGCTTTCTAAGTTATAAAAACAGCGGTTTGATGCCAACCGCCAATATCCAAACAGGCTCAAAATGTGTAATATGTGTGTGTAATACATTATTTGTTGTTTTGTGCTGGCTTGTGCTTCTAAACACATGGGCTCCATAATGCAAGTTTGAGAAAAAAGTATTGTGCATCAAAGTACAAAGTTAATGTTATTCATAGTAAAATTATGATTATATTCATATTAGGACTGGAGATTTTGTCCTTCTTGAAAGAACTGCATCTATAATTTGCATCGTCAGTCCAACGTCTAATATTTATTGCAATTCAGTTATGTACCTGTATTTCTCATATGAGATGTTTGAGAACTTTACGTGTATGTATATATTTGGTCCACTTCTTTACCGAGTAGTTCAAGGTACATTTGCACATATAAATGTCTTGCTCTACTCTATGGACTACTTTTATGACAATGTTGATTTGTTTTCCCCACTTTTTTTATACATGTGTATTGATTGTGTGTATGATTGCTTTGTTTGTTTTTGTTTAACAAGCTTCGGCCATGAAACTAGTATGCAAAAAATAGTGATGATACAAATCACAGAGGGCTCCTTTGGTAAGGGTCACTTGGCTAAGGTTACCAAACAACGATTTGAGTTGATTTTCAATCATATTAGATTTAAAAACCCATGTAAGCTGGACTTTGTATTAGTCTCTCTTTATGCAACAAAAGGCGGCATCTAGCTGATCAAGAGCTTTTTTTATGGGTACAGGAAAAGCTACAAAGGGCAATGCTAGTCTGCAAAGACAAAGTTGAGGTTTCAAAACTCCAGATGAACAAAAGTGATTGTATTAAGGATTTGGAGTTATGTGTTGACCAATCTGTTCAAGATTGCATTAAGACATTGCCTCATATTGTTGGAAGATTGAAGACTAGACTAGGAATGACTGATCCTATGTAGTTTGTATTACAGGCTTCAAGTTTTCAAGCGACATCACTAGATTGCAGTAACTAGACTAGTGTCTTTTCTCATTACTCCAAGTCCCAAATTAAATACGTAGTATGTTATTTTATCAAAAAATGTTCCAGAATAATAATTTTTGTTTTAGTAATTCAATCCATATGTTTTTTATTTTTTTCCAAATTATTCTATGTCAACAGTTCAATGTTACACGCATTTGTACGTTGAAAATGAATGAAGTTGTTCAATTTACAACTTAAATTAGTGTAGAAAAACTCCATACATATTTAATGTACACTTCACACACTCAGATATTCAATATCATGATGTGATTTTGCATGCGGAGTTTATGTAGTCACCAAATTGGCTGCATTTTAATGAAACTCATAAACGCAATGAAGCTTCCCATAATCTTGATTTCTTCATGACAAAACATTCAAATGAAAACATGAATCTCTAACATAAATAAAGTGTTTCAGTTGCAACTCAAAATACGTCCTTCACAGTCCAGTCCACACTGTCTTATTCCACCTTACCGCAGATGGTGAGATGGTAATAGGGGATATCAAATTATCAATCTAATCAGGCATTTGAAGCAAAGCTTGTTTTACTTATCAATGGTGAACTGAAGTTCATCTGTGCCACCAACAACTCATGGTGTAAAAGTATACTCCAAAGACGAAAGCAGAGGCCTCCCGTAGGACACAACTAGCCAACTACCAGATTTTTGGCCTTCATGAAAGCCAGCTAAATGATCCAAGTATAGCCATCCTACACAAGTAGCTCCTACAAGTAGCTTTTACACAGAAATCAACCTGATTTGCTTAAGATTCCATTATATTCAACTCTTTGCATATAAGGATGGACCTTGGGCCCCTGGCCGGGTAGGTCTTTACTCGAAAAACCAGATCACTCCACCGGTCTTCAACTGTAACCGAGATCTGGTCGGATGATATGTATGGCAAATGTTTAGGTTCTTCAATATTGGATATCGGTCCAATCATTCAAAGCTGCTTTTCATTTCAATCTATAGGTTGGAAATAGCAGTTGGTGAGTTGGGTTAGGGGCTGAAACCTCCAATGGCTAGATGAACATTGGGGTGGGGATTATTCTACAAATTCACCACATTCTCTTAATATTTTCTTACATTATTTAGAACCATCTATTACTTCTAATTTATCTAAACAAGTCCCTTCTTCATCTACCATCTATCACAAGTAATACTAGGTATAACAATAGTGATATACGTAGTACTACCTCCGTCTCTTAAAACTTTGCCAAAGTTGACCGGCACGGAGAATAATAAAGTAAAAACTGTGTGGTTTAGATTTATGCAGAGGAGAGAGAAATAACAGAAACCACAAAATAATTGATTAAAAAGAAAAGTGACAAAGTTTTTTGGGACATCCCCAAAAGCTTAGATTACAAAGTTTTAAGGGACGGAGGGAGTATCATTTAAGTGTAATATTATACAACAATTTTAAAATTATAAGTCATTATTGATAGGAACGAAATTTCTAAAGATTATATGTTTTCTTGTTAATCTTATGAATGGCAACAAATCCAGTAAAACTAATAAATAATTACATTGGTATTGATTTCTATATATAACTATAGAGAGACCATATATGAATGAATGAATCTTTCCGATTGAGTTACAATTTCTTAGAAGTTTAAGAATAAATACATTGACTTTAAATTTTACATGCAGTTATAAAAAAAGGATAACACCCCATCCCTGAGGGCCCCCAACCCCGATCGGACGGTACGTTAAGAAAATGCAAATTGGACTATAATCACAATCTGACAGATAGAGAGTGGGGTTATGTCCCCGGTACTTGCAGAGGCCCTATGCATTTTTAGCATATAACCCCTCATCGCAGTTGCCGCGATTCGAACCCGGAACCTAACCCTTGTGGCACTCCCTTGCTACCAGTTGAGCTACTTCCACTGGTTTTACATGCAGATATTGTTATAGAGTAAATAAACTTTAATGTGATAATTTTAAGAATATATTGATGAAAATACATTTCCATTTATTTTCATATTTTTAACAATGTTACATCTTTTATGGACGTGCATGTTTAAGGATGTTTTTGCTTGGATTACTTTCAATCCTAGACCAGACAAGATAAGAATCATAAGATTAGACCAGACTTGGACAGTTATAAAATACATAGAGATCAATTCATAACACTCCATAATTCTTTTTTTGAAAATAACACTCCATAATTCTTATTTATTGATATTCTTTCTAGGTATGTATTTTTCATAGTTCTTGTTATTATTTTAATAATTGCTAAGCTTCAAGTTCAATAACTTTTTATATTCTTATATATTGAGATGAGATTCAACATTGTGACCTTATCATTGGGAGTATCAAAGAGAATTAGTGATGTCATCCGACTATACTCTTTCCTAAATTTTTAATTTTAAAATAATTTTTACACCCAAAATCAAAAAGTGAGATCCACTTTTAATTGTGGGGCAGGTTAGCCATGGGCTCATTAGAGGTGTATTGGCGGCTTTGGCGCCATTGGCCAGTGACAGTTAAAATTAGCTAAAAGTGTTCGTTCGGTTTCGTCGATTTCGATTTTATTGATTTCAGTTTTAACATTTTAGATTTAGACAAAGTGAAACCGAGAACTGAACTATAGAACTTGATTTGATTTTGGTTAATTTCAGTTGATTTGTGTCACTTTTGGTTCAATCAATTTTTAACCTGAAAATAGAAATAAAGAATGCCTGAAATATTAGCAGCGGACTCTCAAATGACTAAAGTATGACCTTTTTTCATTTTGGACGCATAAGTGACTAGAATAGGAGCTATGGTCCAAATTACCCTTGCCTAACCCTAATTCATTTTATGTCCTTTACTTTTCTACCTCCTCTTGCATCGACTCATTCGACGGATGAGAACTGAAGTAGCAACAATGAAGATTCATGGTGGCGGCTCCGATGAAGACGTTGAAACGGCAACAATTGGGGCTCACCTGCGCTCGTCAGATAGAGCCGCCCGCTGCCGCTGCCGACGCTGCGTACACCCCTTCTTAAGAAACCGTTAGATTCTCCGATCAAGCCGCTGCCGTCACTATTCTTCTCCTTTCTTCTTGACTGCAAATTTATCGCCGCTTCAGAGCACCTCCGTCGTTTTCGTAGACGATGTGTCTCGATTGCCGCTTCTTTGGAGCAGCTTCATCGTAGTCTTCTTCGATAGAGCCTCTCCATAGCCGAAGCTCAAAAACCTGTCGAGATCTACATATTTCTGGCTCCCCACAGCTAGATTTTCCAGATATAGGTAGAAGGTTTTGGTCGAGTTGTGGGGCGGTGATAAACCGACAAGGGGTAGTGGCAGGGCCAGATGGGGGTTGTGCTGGTGTGAGTGGGGGTGCGCGTTGTGGACTGTGGCGGAGGTATGCACTGTGGTCATCGGTGACCGACGTTACAAAGGTCACTGGAGGAGTGATGGTGTTACTTTGACCAGTAGATTTTTGGGAGCAGCAGACTAAGATATGGTGGTCGGTGGTGGACCGGTGACTGCGGGGTCACCGAAGCATCTTACTGTGGCCGGATTGACTATGCCGGAGTTTACTGTGGCGGTATCACTGTGAATGTGTCACTGTGACCGACGTGTCACTGTGGCCGGAATTACTGTTGGCACTGATCGGAGTCACATGAAGTATCACTGTGGAAGTGTCACTGTGAGCAGCGGCAATTATCAACCCACAACGATAGCGGTCACTGACCGGCAGTGGCAGTGGTGGACGGCAATCACTATAGCTGGTGTCACTTTAGCATGTGCCACTATAACAGGTGTAATTATAACTACAAAATAAAGTCATTGCAAGTTAAGGGTATATTGTTTAAAGTTTTTTGAAATTATACAAAACAGTCACTTTTTTGTAATTTACTCCCTCCGTTTCTGAAACAAGTTCCACCTTTCCTTTTCGGACAGATTCAAAATTAAGTTCCATTTTCAAACATTTCTTTATTTGGCAAATTATCTACATTACAACAGTGTCAAACAATATCAAACAATGTTCAAACAGTGTCAAAAAATGCACTCCACAGTAAAGTAAAATTTATTTTCTTAATATGTATGAAGTCAAATGTGAAACTTGTTTCAGAAAAGGATGGAGTATTTACTTTTTAATAATATTTAGGTCAAAACCCCCAAATAGAAATCATAAACTGAGCCACTATACTCGTATGTAACAATACGTAGGGATGGATTCGGTTCGGGCCACCCGGCCCGGTACTGTGCGGGCCCGGGACCGGCCCGGTCGGGCGGTCCGGGACCGGGTATGGACCCGAACCGATGGGAAGGGGCGGGGCAAGCTCGGTTCTGGTTTTTTGTGACCCGGCCCGGCCGGGTCGGGCCCGGGTCCGGGTCTATTTTTTAAAAAAAAAATATTGGTTTGGGCTCCTACTAGCCGTTGGGGGTGGGGTAAAGGGGGGGGTCCGGGGGGGTTGGCTGGTGGGAGGTGGGGGGGGTGGGGGGTAAACAAACCTATAAATACTCCTAATCTTAAACATTTTTTCATATCTCTTCTCCAATTCTTCCTAAATCCTATTCTTAACTCTCTACTCTCTAATTCTCTTATTCTCCAATATATTATATTTATTATTTATAGTTTATATTAATTATCTACTTATATAAACTATAAATAGATATAAATAGTATTATATTACTTATATTTGTTATCTAATTATATATTACTTATATATTTATTATATCTATTAATATAGTTGGAATTATATCTAATTAATTTGAAGTCATTCTATTACTCCCATCCGAAAGTCCGAAAGAGGTACGAAATTATTCTATTATTTACACTTGTTTAATTACTAGTTAATTTGCTACATTTGACTCTTGTTTAATAGTTAGATAAATAGTTAATTAGTTTTTTACAATGTTTTATTAATTGCTACATTTGACTCTAGTTTAAAAAATATGTTGTACACAAAACTAGTTAATTCACTACTTAATTTGCTATAACTCGAATTAATAGTTAGATAAATAGTTAATTAGTTTTTTACAATTTTTCATTAATTGCTACATTTGACTCTAGTTTAAAAAATATGTTGTACACAAAACTAGTTAATTCACTACTTAATTTGTTATAACTCGAATTAATAGTTAGATAAATAGTTAATTAGTTTTTTACAATTTTTTATTAATTGCTACATTTGACTCTAGTTTAAAAAATATGTTGTACACAAAACTAGTTAATTCACTACTTAATTTGCTATAACTCGAATTAATAGTTAGATAAATAGTTAATTAGTTTTTTACAATTTTTTATTAATCGCTACATTTTTTAGATAGATCGTCCTAGATATTCGGTTGATATGGGTAACCTCGAGCGCAACCGAACGAAAGAGCTTGCGAGGAAGAGATCCCGCAAAGGTAAATCACATATCGGCTCTTCATTTCAAAGTCAAGATGATTTTGATACGGGTTACGTAAGGAGGGATGGGGATGCGATGACCGACGAACAACTAGAACAAGAATTGCACCGACATAATTCCCGCTTTTTTCAAGACCAACCGAGGACCATTGACGAAGAAGAGCTCGAGGACGAGGACGACGATGTGGAGGAAGCAATTCCGGAGAGCCACGACGACGAGGAGGAGGGTGTCGGCAGCCATGACGCCGACCAAGCAGCCTCATCCCAAACAGGTACAAAAAAAAGTAAATCTGAATTAATGGCTAATAATTTTTCTAAGTGGAAGGACCCGAACACCGGGAGTTGGACCGCAACTTGCAATTGGTGCAAGAAAAACTATAGCTTGGGGATTTCCGGCGGATACGGATCCGCCACAAGACAACTTAAGTCCAAACACCCGGTGGAGTATGCAAAAGTAGGCGGCAGAACGGGGAAACAAACGCAAATATCGAGGTTTGCAAATAACTAACAAGCTTTTGGTAATTTCTCATACAATGATGCACAAAATTTGACAGGTATGGCTAACTTACTTGTTGAAGAAAATTTGCCTTATTTGTTTTCTGAAAGTCTTGCTTTTCGTGATTATGCACAAACTTGTTTAAATCCGCAATATAGAGGTTATAGTCGCAAAACGGTTAAGAAAGAAATTTCAAGGCTTTATGATGCGGAAAAGGTAAGGTTACAAAATTATTTTGCAAACTTTGATGGACGTGTTACTGTATGTTCTGACATATGGGAGGATACTTATCATAATTTACATTATTTGGGTCTGACTGTACATTATATTGATAATGATTGGCATATGCATAAACGTGTTCTTGCTTTCCGTGAATTTAATGATCGTCACACCGCTGAACATATTTATATTTTGATTGAACGTATTTTAATTGAGTATAATTTAATTGATAAGGTGTTTGCTATTGGTTTTGATAATGCTACTAATAATACTGCTGTTATTCCTAGATTGCGTGAATTGTGTGATTCTACTTCTTTGATGGGTAGATTTTTTCATCAACGATGTGCATGTCATGTTCTAAATTTATGTGTGCAAGATGGTCTAAAAGCGTTGGGAGCATCGTTGGAGGTAGTCAAGGGGGGATTAGACGTATTTGAGGTAATGGACACCTTAGGAAAAAATGGCATGATTATTTGATAAAAAGAAGTGAGAGATATGTGGCTTTTCCAAAAGATTTGTCTATTCGTTGGAATAGTACCTATAAGTTAATTGGAGTTCTTCTTAGATATAAACAACATTTTCCTGCTTTTATGAAACAATATGATAACTATATTATAAACTCGGCTGAGATCGACACCTGTGAAAAAATTTGTAATGTTTTGATATATTTTAATAATGCAACTGAAACTTTTAGTCATGTTTATAAACCTACCTCAAACCAATTTATTCGTGAAGCTGTTAATCTCGCCGGTGCTTTTTCAAATTTTGAGAATGCTGATTATGTGAGTTATTTTGCTGGTTTTATGAAAGAAAAGTTTTTAAAATATTATTCACATATTCCGCATATTTATGGTATTGCATTTGTTCTCGATTCTCGTTTTAGACTTGGTTCTTTAGAAGAATGTTTGAATTATTATTATGCTGCTTTTTTTGGTCCATTGCCAATGTATGAGGACAACCCAATTGATCCGAAAATAGAATACAACGAGGTTAGTGATATATTTTATGCATTATTCAATGAGTTTCATGCACAATATGGCAATGCGCCCCCTCCCCCGACACAAACATCATCTAAAAGAAAATCAATTTTCAAATCTACGTTTGTCAATCTTATTAAAAAAACAAAATCAACTCCCGCTACACAACAAAGCACAATTAATGAGATTTCTTTGTATTTAACTTATGATGTTGATTTTGAAGAAGATGATTTTGACATACTAAACTGGTGAAAGGGAAAAGAAAGAATGTTCCCGGTTTTAGCAAAGATGGCTAAGCAAGTGCTATCAATGCCGGTTTCAACGGTTGCTGTGGAACATGAATTTAGTTCGGCCGGCAATGTTCTAACACAAACCAGAACGAGGTTGAGCGCTGAATCTCTTGAGATGCTTATATGCTACCACGATTGGTTGAAAGCAGCACGTAGAGCTCAAGAAATTGACATCACTCCATCCCAAACACTTTATGTATGAATCTACAGAGGATGGCTCTACCTATGCCGGAGATTCCGATTAAAAACAATTATAGTTGCTATTTAATTTTCAAATGTAGTTCCTATTTCATGTCAAATAAATGCACTTGAAGTTTGTTTTTTAATACTTGTATAAAACTATAAAGTATAAAATATAAATGAAAAAAAAAAATTAACCGGCCCGGCCCAGCCCGGCGGGTGGCCCGACCCGTGACCCGGGCAGGTAGCCCGGCCCGAACCGGACCCGTCCAAACCTCGGGCCGGTCCCGGGCCCATCTGATACGAACCGGCGGCCCGACCGGGCCCGACACGGCCCGAATCCATTCCTAACAATACGTAGCAAGTATTTTGGACAATTTCACTTTTTGAACTATACTTATATGTAAGGGGATACGTAGTGAGTATTCTGGACAATTTAACTTTTTGAACTGTACTCATATCTAACGACTAACAATAAGTAGCAAGTATTTTGGACAATTTCACCTTTTGAACTATACTCAAATACGTATGTATCAATTCATCCGGGTGATTGGGTATACCGTATTTCATTGTGTTGTTAGATATTCCACAAGTTTTGAAACATGCATGTTAAAAGTTTTGAAATAAGAGATACATATTTTTTATTCGAATTTTAATAATGTTATTTAACAAATTTTTGACTTTAGTCGCATTACCAAATAAAACGCAAGGATTATACGTCCCCAATGTGCCCTTATTTTCAACTTATTATGTTTTCATCAGCAAATTTTTTAACGAATAACATTACACTTTCTGAATGAATTAACTGAATTACTATTTACCAATGATTTTAACTAAAGAGTACTCCCTCCGTCCCGAATTAAATTGCAAATTTTGACCGACACAAAGATTAAAGAATGACAATAAATGATGATTGCTTTTTACACTTTTAACCATGTTTTTAAAAGTAGATTTCTTTAAATTAATGGAGAAAGAGTAAAAAGTAAATTTGTCAATTTATTCTTATTCGGACTTGATCAGTCTTGCAGGCTGCTTGAGAGAAGAAATGTCAATATAATTATGGCAATTTTTATAAACTAGCTTCAATTCTCTGAATAACCGGTAGTCCAGTTTAATGTCCTTAGGACGTCGTCCATTTTAAAGCTTCGAAAAATCTAAGAACTATGTCTGTAAGACGGTATTAGTAGACAAGTTCCGTATCGAAAAAACTCATCTGTGGATCGCATCTCAGCGGTTGTCTGGCCGCCGCTGATTCTTGCTCAGCTTTCTCTTTATGCACTATGGATCCGGCGCAGGAAAATTTACATTAATGACGCCGTCACCGGTGCATATTCTTTTGTTTCATTAACTGTTATTAATCAATAATCATAAAGCAGATTTAGATAAATTTCGAGATCGAGGTTAGGGATGATAAATTATTTAACGAAATGTTGCGATTTGTTCGAGGCCGTAATCAACACGCAAGTTTGAAAGGCACGGAGAAACGCGTAATGATTTTGCCAACCTTCAATGCAAGAAATCCGCCATTGAAGAGACGCCCTTGCTCTGCAAATTGGCTCTCAAATACTCTATTGTTGAAAGAAAAAAATGAACACATGGAAGAAATGCAATTAAGAAACTTAAATTTCGATTCAACAATCGCGGAAAACTGTTAAGCTGCGCAGACGCACAAAAATGTGTGGAATTCAGTTTGGGAATCTCATGGAGACGGATGTTTTTATAGACCACATAACCTAGAGAGATGAGTTCATGCCATATGGGCTGGGCTGGCTTTTTTTTTATAGAGTTGGGCTCGCTTCTTTGTTACTCTATAATAACATAAAAATATCCGTTTGGTAACACAGTTATTCGATTTATCACAATTATCGGTCAATTTTTTCATCAAACACGTAAATTTTAATTGCATGCACTGAATTATGTAAAAATAAGAAAAAAGTAATGTTAAAGTTATTTTTCTGATTGTATTGTCTGAAGTTACTGTAGAAGATCATTTTAACTATTTTTCATATAATTGTCTCTTTATTTTATTAATCAAAACTATTTTAAATTATTTTTTTTCATAAATCAATGAAACAGCCAATTTAGACATTTCAGATAGAACTTCATAAATTTCAGCATAATCAGACAATTAAGTCAGTTTAAGTGTTACCAAACGGGTTCATAATAAACTTCACTTGCCACAATTTTAGTTTTATACTTCTTCCTTCCTCCGTTCTTCATTGTAAAGGCCCACTTTGTATATTTGTCAATGCACACATTTGATCGTTAATATATCTTATCTTCTTTTAGTAAAAAACTTTAATTCAAATGTTGTAACTGAAAAATGTACTACGTATTTCATGCAAAAAATGAGAATTTTTTCATTCTATTTGACCATTTCTATATCAATTCTTATGAGCATTTAGGTGCAGAAGAAGAGGATAGGGTGAAATTAGAGAACCTTGACGACACAGTGAAGTTTTTTCAGAGGTAGATGAGTTGGACAAAAAGGACTATACCCCGTAAATAATTTAGTTCGTGATATATTTAGTACTACCTTTGTTCCATATTTAAGTTCGTACAACTTTGGAGAGACGAAATTCAACTTCGCCTCAAAGTTGGATTTGACACCTACAATTTTCGTGTTTTTGTACTAAAAAGGGGATTTTCGTATTTGAGAACAAGAACACAAAGGTATAACTCACTCACGGGAGAGAGGAGAGCTCTAGTAGTAGACGTGTTCTCCATGCGGCAACCCTAGCGCCGCAGGACAATTAAAGCATGATCAGTTTAAGGGCCAACCTCTTCATTAACTTTCTCCCATGAGTTTTAATCTTCTAGGTCTGATGGTGATTCAAACTATCTGATGGTGATATCGACACTCAAAGATTCTTGGTAGAGGTGTGATCCAATCGGATTATTATTCTCTTGTGGTGGTGTTGATTTTGTTCCATGCTGGTTCTTTCTCGGAATCTCGGGCACTGGTGCTCCGGGGTTGTTTGTCTCTCTCGATGTGTGAAGTTCTATAGGTGTCCCGGCTAGCTTCGTTTGGTGAGGGGTTTCTGTCTGCTTTCAACTAGAGTGCATAGATATTGGTAGAGCTCGTCCTCCTCCATGAACCACATCCGTGTCACGAAGAGTTTCGTATAAAGAGTTATTTCAATTTTATTTTTCTATCGGTAGTACTTGTTTTTATTTTAATTTTGGTATATTTGGTTTGGAAATTTGAACTTCGGGCATACATTTGATTGAAAGTATTTTAGTCCCGAATGTTTTAGGCTTTAAATTGCTCATTTTGTGTCTAGCGAATCAGGTTGATTTGTATGAAATGACTGGTTCTACGTCTATTCCCAAGGCTCTTAATCGGATCTATCATAATTGTCTGGATGTTATATTGTATCTTTTTCCCAATTTTAATATAAAAGCCGATCCTCTTTATTCAAAAAAGAAGAAGAAAAAAACAAGATCGCAAAGGTCCCACAAATTCATCTTTTCCTCTAATAACTTCATATATACAGATTATACACACACTTGCTTAATATAAAGCTCACGGTCTCACACTCAATGACTCGAGTATTCAACATTATGAATTGATTTTGCATGCAAGTTTTATGCAATCACCAAAATGACTGCATTTCAGCATCTCTTACATACACACCGATGCATCCCATATCCAATGTAAGTTTCAAGCAATCCTTAATCTTGATTTCTTTACGACAAAACATTTAAATGAAAACACAAATTTCAAACTTTAATATATCACGTTGAAACCCAAAATATGTCCCTCCCAATAACTGTCTTATTCCTCCTGACTACAGATGACAATAGGGAATGTGGATCTAATTAGGTATTTGACGTGAAGCTTGCTTTGGCCTCTTTGCTGTGTTTCTCTTGCTCAAACTTATCAATGGCAACCTGAAGTTCATCTGTTCCACCAACAGCTCTCATTGTGTAAAAATATACTCCAAAGACGAAAGCAGAGAGGCCTCCTGCGACTACCAAATTCTTGACCTTGGGTGAAAGCCGGCTGAAAGATCCGCTAAGTATAGCCATCCTGCACAAGTAGCTTTGAGAACGCCTGATTGTGCTTACTGACCTGTCAAAAAAGAGAAAAACTTCGGTACCTGAAGGGAGAGTAAAATCAATGACCACACATTAATGTATACAAGCAAGAATCCACTGAAGTATCAGTTTGGTTATTTTCTTATTTGGTTTACAGAGCTTGTCATCCAGACTTTCTACTGGTTACTATTCAGGTCACAAATTTGAAATGGCTGAAATGAAATCAACCTCCCTTCTACACTCACATTTTAGGTACTAGTAATTATTTCATTTCATTTATTAAAAAAAAAATCTAGAGACTTAACCAAACCAAACTCTGCATATTCAGCTACAGTTCAAGCAAATTTAGCTGTATAAGCCCTTTTCACCTCACCAAATGGTCACTAAGTGAAATTCAACAAGCCAAGGTTGTTGAAGCCTCAAGGGAAGCAACAACCAACTAAATTATTATACTTACAACTATACAAAGCAGAGGAAATTCAACCACTGCCCTACACTTAACCAGCCACTGCCCCATTATTGATTTAGTGTTTTTGCTTCTCTTTCAATCTATTTTATTGAAAGTATAGGTCCCTTACACCTTGTCGAGTTGTCTGCCTAATCGAGTCAACTAAAAAAGGAGTTAGTCGACGAGTTTGGTGACTCATTGAATCTGATTACAGGTAAAGTAATTCAGTTGTAGTAACTACTTAGTAGTGAAAGATTACAAAAAAGGCATCCCGGAAGGCAAGGGTCCAGGGAACGGTCCCACCACAAGGGTGTTTAAGGGGCAAGTCTTCTCCTATCAAAATTTTCAACATGTAACCTCTCGATCACACACCAACACCTTAACCAGTGTGCCAAGGCTCCCCTTCTAGGTCAATACATGTTAAAATTTCTCTGTTGAGAATTTTATTCCTAAAAAATATACTATGGATTAATTGGAAAACAGATCTTTTTAATTGCACTAATCAAGAAAATAAATTTTAATTGTAATTGAAAATTTTAACCAAACAACATCAACAAATTACAATACCAACACAGAATCCTAATTTAATTACATAACAGAAAAATCACCAAAAACTTACTCCGTAAAATTTAACAAGTCAACAACTATGAACTGATGAACTAAAGTCTAAAGGCAACATCAACAGTCAACAATCAACAATCAACAATGAACAATGAATATGAACAAATCGTTTATGAACACTCAACAGCCAACAAATCAATTAATTGCTTACCAACTATTCATTTATAAGCATTAAACAATTATGAATTACAGAATTTATGAACGTATATTCTAATCAAGTAATCAATAAAAGACAAAGAGTTTCCAAAAAAAGACTGAAAGAGTTAAGCGGTTAAGGAATAAGGAGGTCGGAGGAGTACCTGTAGCGTGAAGCCTGAAAGTGAGAAGGGCCGATTGGCCGAAGGCCACAGCGCTGGATCGCTGTAGGCGGAGCAGGGCGACCCAGACGGCTGAGGAAGTGATGACTGGCCGATGAGGATTGCTGTACGGCGGACAAGCAGGGGTAGGGCGTAAGGCGGCCAAGCCTAGGCGGAAGGGCGGTCGACGAGTTTGGGAGTTGGCGTTTCGCGTTCGTCGAAGTCGATGTGTATATTCGATCCGATAGGCTGCTCCTTTGTTTGGTCTCCGTATTACTCGCTCAGCCCTTTGCAATTCATGGGCCATTCAGCGGTTGGGCTGGACAAAATATTAATGAATGGCTGAAAAATAAGCCTACCCACACTTATTACAAAGGCTGAATACTAGGCCCAAAGGATTTCATTTTTGGGCTGGCCCCCAACCCAGCTGCCCCTTGGACCGCCTCTGTTGTATAGAACTCGGAATCTAAGAAATGTTTGCCGACTGTATACACGCTACGGATACGGGAACACAGAAATGTGGAAAAGCGAAAACAGATAGGATACGAAAACTCAAAAATGTAGGATACAAATACGGGTAGCCATCCAAGCTTTGTCCGGTTAGCTCAAGGATGTACAATTAAATACTTAAGAAGTGCAACACGTTTGTCCATTTAGATTGTAAGATTGTTTATAACATGGAAAAGTTTTAAGATCCTGGAAAATATGGAACATCATTTACTACACTGTTTATATTGCAGAAAAAGATACTGAATGTCCTATTTTCCTGCTCCTGTAAAAGTTTGAGAATTTTGAAAACACATTGGGTAGAACCGTAGAAATGGTAAACACAACAACATATCATAAGTGTACAGAAGATCGATCTAAAGCCCAGACATGGAGTAGATAAAAAGTTTTGCAGAAGAAGCTCAAGATGAGTTCCCTCTTCCATGGGAGAGCATCATCAGCTCTTGATACTTCCGAAGAATTTAGACAGTGGCAGCGGCCCTTCTGCCTCTTCACTGCCTCCATGTCTTGATCTTGACCGATGTTTCTTATCTTTCTTCTTTCGCTTCGACTTTGATTTGCTTCTCCTAGATTCTCTTTCTTCTTCATCATCACTGCTTGAACCTGATGATTCTGATGATGAACTTGAAGATCTGTGCTCTGATGATCTCTGATTTAGGGAAAAAATGTTAGGAAAAATTATGAAACCTGAAAATCTGATAATCAATAACAGTCATATTTCACATCAATAAGAGAACATCAACACCTTAATCCTAACCATGTTGGGACA